CCTCCCCCTCCTCCTCCTCCTCCTCACTCCTCCTCCTCCTCCTCCTCCTCCTCCTCCTCCTCCTCATCACTCTGTCTGACGCCACCCGAGGATCCTGGAAGATTTGGGGTGGAGGAGTTGGGGCTGGGGACGGGGCCTGGGTGGGAGGAACTTGTTCGGATCTTAGCTGCCCCGATACGCAACACGCAACACGTAGCGTATTAATACGGAGTTCAACACGTAGACTGAACACGTAGGTCTGACGCGATACGTTCACCAAAACGTGGGCCTATACGTTGAGCCAACACGCAACGTATTGACACGGACGTCTTGAACATGGGACGTATTGCGTATCAAAACGGGCGTATCGAGGCAGCTAAGGTTCAGATAAGTGTTAGGTGGCGGCGGCACCTTTTGCTGTAGTCCGAGATCGAAGGCACGAATCCGAAGGTCGAGTGTATCATCGTTAGTTGCGGCTGCGGGACTGTGAGCTCGGAAGGCAAGTTAACGACGTCTATCTCTGAGTGGTGTCCTGGCCGAGTGGGGAAGGGCACCCAGGATCAGCTGCGACGGATTTGCAAAGGTGAGTTCCCCCATTGCAGAGGGGTGGGGTGAAGCACCCCCGTGTAGCCCGGCCGCACTGGGGTGATGCCAGCAGCCAGGGAGAGCTTGCAGGCGCAGGCCGATGCGACGGTGCCCCCGTCCAGCGACACCGCCTTGTCTCGTTCGACTTGGCAGCGGCCGCGCTGGGGTGATGCCAGCAGTCAGGGGGAGCTTACAGGCGCAGGCCGATGCGACGGTGGCCCCGTCCAGCGACACCGCCTTGTCTCGTTCGACTTGGCAGCGCGGGGAGGTAGGCGGGCGGGACGAAGTGCTGAAAGCTTTTGGGTTGACGGTCGAGAACCGTCCGCGAGTGCTCGCGTTGGGTCGTCATGGGATCCTGCGAGCGTCGGCCGCCTCAGAGGACCCCGGCTTTGAAGAGGGTTCGGCTGCCGTCAGGGCCTACCCAAGCCAAGCCAGCGCACTCCTTCCCCTCGTCCTTCTCCTCCTGCTGCCCTTTCACCTCCTCGTCCTGCTCCTCCTGCTCCTGCTCCTGTTGCGGCTCCTGCTCTTGCTCCTGCCTCTGCTCCTCCTCCTCCTCCTCGTCCTCCTCCTCCTCCTCCCCCTCCTCCTCCCCCTCCTCCTCCTCCTCCTCCTCCTCCTCCTCCTCCTCCTCCCCCTCCTCCTCCTCCTCCTCCTTTTCCTCCTCCTCCTCCGCCTCCGCCTCCTCCTCCCCTTCCATGTATGATCATGAAGATTGGAAGCTGCAACAAGTTGCACGGATGGAGGGCGAGCAGTTTTCAAATGTGGCTCTCGCCTGAGCGTCGCGAACATTCGTCTGGACAGCTTGCGAGATGCTCACGGACGGAGGGCGGCTCTTGTTCAAGGTGTGGCCGTCGCATGGGCGCCGCGCACACTCGCCCGAGGAGGAGGAGGAGGAGGAGGAGGAGGAGGAGGAGGAGGAGGAGGAGGAGGAGGAGGAGGGAGGAGGAGGAGGAGGAGGAGGAGGAGGAGGAGGAGGAGGAGGAGGAGAAGGAAGGAGGGAGGAGGAGGGAGGAGGAGGCAGGAGGACGAGGAGGAAGAAGCGTGCGAGAGCCTCGCGGACTGCGGGCGGGCGACTCTCGAGATCCGGCGCTCGCCGTCGCGCCGCGCCGCGCACGTTCGCCCGAGCAGCTGGCCGCAGCTCCTCGGGCGGAGGGCGGGTCGTCTTCAAAATGGCGTGTTCCTCGCGGGCTCTCGAGCCTCGTGCTTGAGCCAGGCCTGAGCCCCTGGCCTGAGCCCTCGAGCCACCCTGGCCACGGAGGGGGAGGAGAGGCAGGAGGAGGAGGAGGAGCATGAAGGAGCAGTGGGAGGAGGAGGAGGAGGAGGAGGAGGAGCAGGAGGAGCAGGAGGCTGTGACTCTCGCCTGAGCGCCGCGCATGTTCGCCGGAGCAGTTCGCGGTGGTGTCGCGGCTGGTGTGCGGCTCCTCTCCAGACTTCGGTTCTCGCCGAAACGCCGCGCACATTCGGGCAGAACGTGGCCAGAGCTTCAGCGATGGAGGGCGGCTCAGTTTTGACTGTGGCTTTCGCCTCAGCGCCGCGCGCATTCTTTTTTAAACGTTGCAGGAGGTTCACGGCTGGAGGGCGGGTGGTTTTCAAGATGTGGCTCTCGCCTTCGCGCCGCGCACATTCGTCTTGAAAGTTCCGAAGAGCTTCGCTGATGGAGGACGGTGCCTTCTCAAAATGCGGCCTTCGCCTTAGCGCCACGCACATTCGCCTTACAATGTGTTGTAACAAGGGGACGGGTTCTAATGGTTGACGTCTCAGGAAGAATAGTTCAGCACGGTTTAGGAGCGCCAGGGCGCAACCGTCACGTTGATTCGCGGTGCTGAGGTTCCGAGCGCGGCGTCCCGGCACGCTTCACGACCGTCAGGATGCAACTGGCAAGTTGATTCGTGGCGTCGAAATCCAAGGAGTGGTAACTTAACACGATTGGGAATTCTCAGACGGTTGTCTTCCATTGGGGCACAACTTGCGGCAGTGAACAGAATTTCCCGTAGGGGCCTATAGAGAGGGAGCTTGGAGTGAGGGTTTAGTGCAACATCGTTGGTGCGTCGTGGGTGTACACTTGTCCTCCTCCTCCTCTTCGTCCTCCTCCTCTTCTTTCTATTATCCTTCTGCTTCTTCTTAGGTTTCGTATTATTATTCCTTCCCCTCCTCCCCCTCCTCCTCCTCATCCTCCTCATCCTCCTCGGAAGGGCTAAGGACAATGATGATGACCACCGCCCAAAGGCAAGCCAGAAGCCACGCAGCAGGCCCCGTTCCTGGCCACATCGGCCAACGGCGAGGGGGGAGAGAGAGAGAGAGAGAGCGAGAGAGAGATATAGAGAGTGAAAGAAAAAGAGGAGCGGGGAGACCGAAAGACACAGATATATACTATATCTGTATATACGGATATGATTACATATGTTAGGTATGGTGAATGTCAACCAGTATGTTATCGCACTGTGGATGTGCAAGCTGTGTGGTGCAATCTATTTGGTGTAAGCTATGAAATGCAAGCTAGGCGGGCCGGGATGGTATGTGGTGCAAGCTAGGTGGTGCAATTATGCGTGGTGGAAGCTGCGTGGTGCAATCTCTGTGGTGCCAACTATGTGGTGCAGGCTGTGTGTTCTAAGATATGTGGTGCAAGCAGGGCGGTGCAAGCTATGTGGTGTAAGCCATGTGGTGCAAGTTATGTGGTTCAAGCTACGTGGTGCACGCTGTACTGTGCAACTTGCGTGGTGCAATGTACTGGTGCGAGCTACCGGGGCGCCCACGAGGCGCCAAAGGGCGGGCACCAGGCCCGACACCTCGGCATACTCCCCAGCGTGGGGCGCCAACGAGACGCCCACGGGCGCCCGCCAACTGGGGCAACAGCCAAAACCCCAGCGTACCCATCCAAGTACCGTAGAAAGAGAAGTAAGAACCTCAAAGTGCAAGCACTCTCTGGTGAATCCGTATATAGGTACAGATGTATATATATATATATATACATATACATATACACATACATACAACTATAATACACAAGGAGAGAGAGAGAGAGAGAGTGACAGAGAGATAGAGAGAAAGAGAGAGAAAAAAAGTGAACCATTACGAGATAGAGAGAGGGAGAAACAAACACAACAAACAATACAAGTTAGGAATGCACATAGACAGAGAGAGAGAGAGATAGAGATAATATAAAATAGAGAGAGAGTGAGAGAAACATAAAGAAATAAATACATAAATAAAGAGAGAGAGAGAGAGCGAGAGGGAGAGAAAGAGAGAGCGGGAGAAAGAGAATGAAAGGGAGAAAACGAGAGAAAGAGAGAGGGAGAGATAGACAACGAAACGATATGGAGCGAAAAAGAAAGAGAGAGAGAGAGAGAGACAGAGAAAGAGAGAGAGAGAGAACACATACACATAGAAACGAGAGGATGAGAGAGATACAGCGAGGAGAAGGAACAGGATCTGGAAAACGGGGCAAATGAACTGCAGCAACAGCAGCAGCCCATCCGCAAATCAGGATCCTTGCAGCCCAGAAGGGCCAGGACGTCCCCGAGCGCCTGGCCCTTGGGCTCAGCCTCGGCCGTGGGGAGATCCTAGTTGATCTCCCCCATTCGCCTCCTCCCACTTCTTCCAATCTCATCCCACCTCCTCCGCCCCCTCCTCCTCCCCCTCCTCCTCCTCCTCTTCCTCCTCCTGTCTTACCCTCTACCTCCGGTGCTACTCGTCGTCATCTCCTTTCGCCTCCTCCGCCTCCTCCTCCTCCTCCTTCTCCGTCGCATCGCCATCATCACCAGCACAATCCTCAGCCTCATCATCCTCTCGCCCCCTCCTCCTCCTCCTCCTCCTCCCCCTCTCCTCCTCCTCCTCCTCCTCTCCTCCTCCTCCTCCTCCTCCTCCTCCTCCTCCCCCCTCATCATCATCATTATCACCATCACCATCACCATTATCAGCAGCATCATCAGCATCCTCATCCTCGTCCTCGCATCCTCATCCTCATCATTCATCATCTTCACCACCAGCAGCATCATCAGCATCACCGCCAGCAGCCGCAGCAACAGCGCAACATACAAACATCTCACATCACATCATCATCATCATCATCATCATCATCATCATCATCATCATCATCATCATCATCATCATCATCATCATCATCATCACATCATCATCATCATCATCATCATCATCATCATCATCATCATCATCATCATCATCATCATCATCATCATCATCATCATCATCATCATCATCCTCGTCATCATCGTCATCAACATCATCATCGTCGTCACCATCCTCGTCAACATCATCATCATCATCATCATCATCATCATCACCATTGTCATCACCACCATCATCATCATCATCATCATCATCATCATCATCCCCATCCTCATTATGATCATTACCCTCAGCACCATCATCACCATCAACATAGCATCAACATCATCAGCATCCTCATCCTCATCCTAGCCATCATCATCCTCATCCACATCGTCATCCTCAGCAGCATCATCAGCATCACTGCCAACAGCAGCAACAACACAACATCAATATCAACGCCATCATCAACATAATCATCATCATAGTCATCATCATCCGCATCCTCATCGTCATCACCATCATCAACATCGTCATCATCGTCATCATCAGCATCATCATCACCAACATCATCATTATCATCGTAATCAACATCATCACCATCATCACTATCGTCATCACCATCCTCCTCCTCATCATCATCCACATCCACATCATCAGCATCTTCATCATCATCAACTCCTTCTCCTTATAAACAAATCGTCCCTGTCGCACCCCGGGGCCAGCTTTTAGGGCGGGCCGGGCATTTCGCCAGAGGCTTCCTCACTATTCCGGACTCTGAAGATTGAAAGTGACAACAGCTTCACAGATAGAGGGCGGGTCGCTTTCAAAATGTGGCTCTCGCCTTAGCCCCGCGCACATTCGTTTTGAAAAATTGCAAAAGTTTCACGGATTGAGGGCGGGTGGTTTTCAAAATGTGGCTTTCGCCTTAGCGCCGCGCACGTTCGTTTTACAAAATGGCAAGGGTTTCGCGGATTGAAGGCGGTTCCTTTTCAAAATGTGGCTCTCGCTTTAGCGCCGCGCACATTCGTTCTAAACATTTGCAAGAGCTTCACGGATTGAGGGCGGGTGGTTTTCAAAATGTGGCTCTCGCTTTAGCGCCGCGCACATTCGTTCTAAACATTTGCAAGAGCTTCACGGATTGAGGGCGGATGGTTTTCAAAATGTGGCTCTCGCTTTAGCGCCGCGCACATTCGTTCTAAACATTTGCAAGGGCTTCACGGATTGAGGGCGGATGGTTTTCAAAATGTGGCTCTCGCTTTAGCGCCGTGAGCTTCACGGATTGAGGGCGGTTCCTTTTCAAAGTGTGGCTCTCGCCTTAGCGCCGCGCACATTCGTTTTCAAAAGTTGTAAGAGTTTCACGAATTCTCATGATCAGCGTACCAGAAAGGGTGTGTTGGAAAGGTTCGGAAACATGCGGGCGCAATAGCTATGTTGATTCGCTGTGCTGACGTCCCAAAAGTGGCGTGCTGGCACGATTCTGGATCGTCAAGACGCAGCAGTCAGGTTGATACGTGGCGTTGAAATCCCGAGAACCATGTTTTGGCACGCTTCAGGATATTCGAACTAATGTCTTCCAACGAGGCAGTTCCCTCAATGGAAATGAACCGTTGTAGGGGCCTATGACGAGGGATCATGGAGGGAGGGTTAATTCCAACATCGTTGAAGACTCTTGGGGTTCCACTGGTCACCATCCTCATCCTCATCAGTATCATAACCCTGTGCGGCGATAGTAATACCCGGGGGATAATCAAGTTCGGGGGTCTGGCGGGGATAATAAAGGATTTTCCCAGAGAAGGTGAAGATCAGATGATGATTATGACGGCGATGATCATGATGATGGTGATCCTGGGCGCTCGGCACAAGACTGACTCGAGAGGTCTCGATGCTTATACAACTTGCCAGCAGGCGCTCGGCACAAGACTGACTCGAGAGACCTCGAGGCTCGTGGCTAACTATATATACATCTTGCCAGCAGTGCGCGTGTGCGCGTGTGCGCGTGCGCGCGTGCGCGTGTGCGCGTGTGCGCGTGTGCGCGTGTGCGCGTGTGCGCGTGTGCGCGTGTGCGCGTGTGCGCGTGTGCGCGTGTGCGCGTGTGCGCGTGTGCGCGTGTGCGCGTCGCGTGTGCGCGTGTGCGCGTGTGCGCGTGTGCGCGTGTGCGCGTGTGCGCGTGTGCGCGTGTGCGCGTGTGCGCGTGTGCGCGTGCGTGTGCGTGTGCGTGTGCGTGTGCGTGTGCGTGTGCGTGTGTGCATGTGTGCGTGTGTGCGTGTGTGCGCGTGTGTGTGTGTGTGTGCGTGTGTGTGTGTTTGTGTGTGTGTGTGGGTGTGTGTGGGTGTGGGTGGGTGGGTGGGTGGGTGGGTGGGTGGAGGGGGGGGGAGGGGCAAGGCCAGGGGAGCGCGCTGCGACGCGAGGAGATGGGGGTCCGTCGACCCCTGGCGAACCCTGCACCTCAGGCGGCGTTTGCCCTGGTGGCCGCGGCGCCCCCACCAAGACGTAAGGCCGCGCGTCGGAACAAACCGCGCGGCGACAGCTGGAGTCGGCGACCCAGACATGTGACGTCCTGATTTTTTCAGGACGGCGTCCCCGGAAATCCCGACCTTTCCCTGGGGCCAGCTTTTCGTCCGGAGTCGTTTTGTCACGGTCCTGGGGCCTGGCGAGGGCCTCCAGAGGTCGAAAATAATGGAAAACTTGCCGTCCGGATCTTATTACGACGAGATCATGTCTGGGGAGTGCATCGCCGACAGATCGATCGGCGATAGGGCCCTCGGCAGCGAAACCGAGCGCTCCGCGGCGGGGCGGGGGAGTTGGGCCCCATCTGCGATCAGTGGGCGAGGCGGGGCGGGGCGGGGCTCGCCGCGGTCTGCGGCGCACCCCCAATCGCGCGTCCGCCGCACACCTCTTGCGGCTTCCCTCGCGGCTGTGGCGAGGGCGAGGGTGAGGGCGAGGGTGATGGCGGGGAGGAGGAGAGGGAGGAGAGGGAGGAGGAGGAGGAGGAGGAGGAGGAGGAGGAGGAGGAGGAGGAGGAGGAGGAGGTGGAGAGGAGGAGGGGGAGGAGTACGAAGAGGAGGGGAGGAGGAGGAGGAGGAGGAGAGGAAGGAGAGGAGCAGGAAGAGGAGGAGGAGGAGGAGGAGGAGGAGGAGGAGGAGGAGGAGGTGGTCGATGCGCCCCCCCTGAGCCCAGCCCCATCCCCGTCCCTGGTAGGCCTCGGGCCGTGCGCTACTCGGGCCTCTGGCGCCCGTGCGGGACGACCTCTGGGCAGCCCCGGGGACGCTCCCTGCGAGGCGCAGCTGCTGGAGCACCTCCCGAGAGGAAAACCGCCGAGCGCCGACGGGGACGCCCGACGAACCTCGAACCTCCTCCTCGTCGTCGTCGTCGTCCTTCTCCTCCTCCTCCTCCTCATCCTCCTCCTCCTCCTCCTCCCGAACGCAAGAACTTCGAACCTCGAAGGCGAGAGCCTCGAACCTCTCTTATCCCGGCGCTGCCCCCGATGCTGCTTTTCGTGCTGCCGCTGCTCGGCCTCGGTCGCGGGGAGCTCCAGCCGCAGGCCGTCCTCCGCGTCGGCGAAGGGCGCGAGGAAGCCAGTCACGAGCTGGGAGCACCTCGGGAGCACCTCTTCCTGGTCCTCGTCGTCACTGTCCTCCTCCTACTCCTCCTCCTCCGCCTCCTCCTCTTTATCCTTCTTCCTCCTTTTTATCATTATTCCTCCTCTTCCGCCTCTTCTTCTTATTATTCTTATTCTCGATTTCCTTCTTATGTTTATTATTATTCGTCATATTCCTTCTCTTCATCTGCATCAGCATCCGCATCATCATCATCATCATCATCATCATCATACGAATCATTATCATCATCATCATCATCAGCAGCAGCATGAGCATGAGCATGAGCATCATCATCATCAGCAGCATCATCACCATCACCATCATCATCACCAGCACCGTCACCATCATCATCACCATCACCGTCGCCATCACCACCACCACCATCATCATCATCAGCATCAGCATCAGCATCCTCATTTTCATCCTCATCCTCATCCTCATCCTCATCATCACTACCACCATCATCATCGTCATCATCATCAGCATCATGATCATCATCGTCGCCATCATCATCATCATCATCATCATCATCATCATCATCATCATCATCATCATCATCATCATCATCATCATCATCATCATCATCATCATCATCATCGCGACGCTCAACCAGGCCAGGACATTTTGTGTGTCTCCGGCCAGGCAGGTCGAGCAGGACAGGACGGGCCACGCTCCAAGCTCGGCGGAGGGGAGGGGGGCGAACGAACGGCACGACGCACTCGGCACAAGCACACACCACAACACAACACCACACCGAACGAGAGAGGAAGAGAGAAACCAAAGTCACCCCGAATGGGATTCTGGCATTAGCCGCAACTAACTATTTGTCGGAGTCGGCTCAACTTAAGTGACTGGATCGCCTGCTCCAACGCCTGGGCAAACAGGACACAAAAACGACCAGGGTAAGGCTCAGCAACACTGGTCCAAAGTTTGCCCGAGTTTGGGTCACGGCCAGAAAGGATAAAATGGCGTTTGCCCGTGAAAGTGCACTGGCCCGAACGCCCGCGACACGGCCCTGGAAGGTTTATCCGAAAACTGGAACTCCAGACCTGGACACGGGTGCGTTTTCGCCAGCAGGCTCCGAGGGCGCAGAAATCCACAACACACTGATGGCTATCTGGCCGCCTTGAGAGGCGGGCAAGCTGAGCAGTCTGCCACATATAGCTGCTACTTGGATTCTCCAACGCCACTGGAACATGGTTGCTACGGCAGGCGCGGATCAAGGAGAGACAGAACTTGAGCTGAGAATTGCCCTTATCACAGGCTAGGCGAGCACGCTGGCTGAGGTTAGGTAAACCCCACAGATGAGAAGGGCTTCTGAGACGGCACCAACTACTGTTTGGGGGCCCATGCCTAGCCTGAGACCAAGAGCAGCAGGGAGTCCCCATCCACAGACCGACGACGACGCCCCCCGTGATCCACCCCGCACCATCTTCTGAATGCAAAGCCTATCCAGATCGAACCAGGGGAGCTTTAACATGTCGACCGACAAGACCCCACAACCGAGGTTTCGCATCGCCTTGGAGATGCCCCCCTGGCCAGAAGAAAGTTCCAGAAAAAAACTTGCTTCCTAAGGGCCCGCGCAGAGGCCAGCGCCTTTCTCAGCACTCGCCGCACCCTCACCCTGACCTCGGCATCACTGAGCAAGGTCCCACGGGAAGCGCCGGCAGCGGCGGCAGGCCCTCGCGATTGAGGAAGATCGCCTCCAGCCTGGCGGCGACGCGCCGCCCGAACTCGAGCGTCTGGGCTGGGGCCTTGTGCAGCTCTGCCAACGCTCTCGCCTCCTTGCCGTGCCTTTTCAGCATCACATCTGAATGCCACCGTCCCCTGGACTTGACCTCTAGAGCCGAGCGCGCTCTGGTCAACAGGTCGTGAGAGGCTCCGCCGTGCCGCAGGCCGTAGACGGTCAACCCCATCTGGCCCAGGCCGAGTGCCTCCGCTGACGCCTGCATCTCCAACGACAGGTCGTTGCGCGCGAAGCTCCACAGTCTGTCTGTCACGCGCTGGCTGCGCCGCTTGAGCACTGAGAGGCACCCGTAGAGATACCCGACTCCGTCCAGCACCACGCTCTCGTCGAAGGCGCCCACCTTTGTCGGAGCCCCCAGCTCGCTCGGTCCTAGCAGCAGCGCCCAGTGCTGCTGCCCGAACCCTGCGCCTGCCACCGGCGCAACAAGCTGCATGGGCGTCAGCGCGTCCAGCTCGCCTGGGCGGAGGTACGCATTGAAGGCCAGCAGCAGCGCGACCGCGTGCTCCAGCAAGCCCCGCGACAAGAGGTGCTCCGCCAGCGCCGCCGCCAGAAGCCACGGTACAGGCATCCGCGTTACCCGCGGAACAACCTTGGCCCAGCCAGCCAGCGCCCTGGTCGCCCTCGGCAAGCTCCGCGCGCCGTACCTGCCGACCTCCGGGTAATAGAACTTGACCGCAGCAAAGGTCTTGCTGGCCACGTCCCCAGCGCACCCCAGGAAGAACAGCCTGTCCATGTACAGCACAGGCGCCAGGCCGAGCCCCTCGACTGAGGTCCAGCTCACCCCTGCCTGCAGTGCCCACCCCAGAAAGGCCTTGGCTCTCCTCTGGTAGTCCGAGAAGGTCGCCTTCGCCACTGACCTCGACTCCAGGAAGGACGGCGGGCACGAGCCCGGGAGGGGCGCCGACTCGGGCGATGGCGCGTGGCACCAGGTCCTCCTGGCGGCCGCCGCCGCAGTCGACATGATGCCGATCATCTTCATCCAGTCGTCCTGAGGGGCCTCCAGCTCCGTCCTGCTTCGCGTGCGAGACCGACCGCTCCTGGCCTGCGCCGAAGCTCGGGAACTCTGGCACGGCTGGCAGCCCCCCACGCTCATCACCAGCAGAAGCAGACCCCAGCTTGGCACACTCCTCCTCCAGCTGCGGCTTGAGAAAATACAGGCCACGCGAAGGGTTATCAGCCGGGTTCCTCTCGGACGGGGCCCAGCGGACGCGCGCGTGGAGGCGGCAAGCCAGGGTGAGGGCGCTGATCTCACGCAGGATGCCCCGAAGCTGGAAGGCCGAGGATCGGCCCTTTCCGGCCGCAAGGGCCAGCCCCAGGTTGTCGACCAAGAGAAGCACACGAGGTCCGAAGGATTTCTGATCTCGAAGGAGATGCCGAAGGGCGTTGGAGAGAGCGAGACCCTCCAACCTCAGTGTGTTCGCTGGGCCCTGCCAGGGGAACGACTCGACGATATGCCGCACCTCCGGGTCCGTGAAGCTCGCGTCGACCATGTCGAAGGCCCTCGCGTGCTCATCGGCCTGGCGCAGGCTGTCCGGCAGGTCGTCTAGCACCGGCATCTGCTCCAGCTTGGCGGCCGCCTCCTCGCCCCCCAAGGCGTGGGCTCGCGCAGCCGTAGCGCCCCGGCGGTGCCGCCGGCGCTCGGCCGTCCGCCCCCAGCGCGCGATATCCCCCACGTTCGCCTCGCGCTCGCAGACCCCGCAGCCCCAGTGAGAGGCGTCGCTGGCTGTCACCCTGCCGTGCCAGTCGGCGTCCGCGTGGGCCACCATCAGCGGCGGCAGGTTCCTGACATGCCGGAGCTCCTCCTTCACTGCCGGCCACAGCTCGCCTTCCTCAGTGCCCATGGCCTTAATGTACGCATACACAAAGCTGAACACCGCCAGGGAGGACCGCTGAACCATCATTTGAGGGAGTTTCTGTGGAACTCACGTCATCCTCACCCCCGGCGCGAAGAGCACGAGCCCAGAGCGGCCTCCGGCACCGTTTCCGGACGGATCCGCTGGATCCGCTGGATCCGGTGACGAATCCCAAACCGGCGCCCTCGCCTGAGACATCCTCACAAAACGGGCCCCGGGGGGGATGCCCAGAGGAGCCCAGAGCGGCCTCCGGCACCGTTTCCGGACGGATCCGCTGGATCCGCTGGATCCGGTGACGAATCCCAAACCGGCGCCCTCGCCTGAGACATCCTCACAAAACGGGCCCCGGGGGGGATGCCCAGAGGAGCCCAGAGCGGCCTCCGGCACCGTTTCCGGACGGATCCGCTGGATCCGCTGGATCCGGTGACGAATCCCAAACCGGCGCCCTCGCCTGAGACATCCTCACAAAACGGGCCCCGGGGGGGATGCCCAGAGGAGCCCAGAGCGGCCTCCGGCACTGTTTCCGGACGGATCCGCTGGATCCGCTGGATCCGCTGGATCCGGTGACGAATCCCAAACCGGCGCCCTCGCCTGAGACATCCTCACAAAACGGGCCCCGGGGGGGATGCCCAGAGGAGCCCAGAGCGGCCTCCGGCACCGTTTCCGGACGGATCCGCTGGATCCGCTGGATCCGGTGACGAATCCCAAACCGGCGCCCTCGCCTGAGACATCCTCACAAAACGGGCCCCGGGGGGGATGCCCAGAGGAGCCCAGAGCGGCCTCCGGCACCGTTTCCGGACGGATCCGCTGGATCCGCTGGATCCGGTGACGAATCCCAAACCGGCGCCCTCGCCTGAGACATCCTCACAAAACGGGCCCCGGGGGGGATGCCCAGAGGAGCCCAGAGCGGCCTCCGGCACCGTTTCCGGACGGATCCGCTGGATCCGCTGGATCCGGTGACGAATCCCAAACCGGCGCCCTCGCCTGAGACATCCTCACAAAACGGGCCCCGGGGGGGATGCCCAGAGGAGCCCAGAGCGGCCTCCGGCACCGTTTCCGGACGGATCCGCTGGATCCGCTGGATCCGGTGACGAATCCCAAACCGGCGCCCTCGCCTGAGACATCCTCACAAAACGGGCCCCGGGGGGGATGCCCAGAGGAGCCCAGAGCGGCCTCCGGCACCGTTTCCGGAAGGATCCGCTGGATCCGCTGGATCCGGTGACGAATCCCAAACCGGCGCCCTCGCCTGAGACATCCTCACAAAACGGGCCCCGGGGGGGATGCCCAGAGGAGCCCAGAGCGGCCTCCGGCACCGTTTCCGGACGGATCCGCTGGATCCGCTGGATCCGGTGACGAATCCCAAACCGGCGCCCTCGCCTGAGACATCCTCACAAAAC